AGAACCTCAGACAAACAAGTTTGTTTACATTTGCAGGAGATTATGAACAGGGAGTGGGCAGTATTATGTCACATGAAAACGAGAATAGGCCTTTGCATGGCCGTGTTGCAGCTGGCTTTTCTTTTTTGGTGGTTTGGATTCTGTAGTTTCTGTATCAGAGTTTTGCTTTAAAACTTCTGAAAGCATGCTGCACACTTCCCTCCTCTCAAATTTTTGGAAGGCGCTTGAGATTCCTAAACTTTGGGTCAAATGGTCTATCTGGCTGTAGAAATTTTACATTAGTACCTTTTTTCTGTTTTGTTATATCTGCAGTGAAAAGTGTTCTTAAACAGCATGTGCTGGATCATCATCAGAGGTTGGTAGAGCATGAAATATATGGGAGAATGTGCGTAAAACAGATCCACTAGGAGTTCAGTCACTAATTTAATTAACGCATTGTTTTAACGAATCATGTTCTCTTGTATGGTGGCCAAAGCATGAAGAGGCATATGTATGTTTGGCTTATCTGGCACACACATACCTTTGCAATGCTGGTTACAAAAGTGCCATGAAAATGCTTGTTCTCACTTTCAGGTGATATTGTGGATAAGAAGCAGGCAACACTGTCTCCTGTACATGGAAACAAACCTGTTCATCTTAGTGATTGGCTGAGCAGGTACTAGAACTCAGTGGAGTTGTAGACTAAAGTTTTAGGTTGCAGTTGTACAACAAAAAAATTTATATTTGTAAGTTGCATTTTCACGAGAAAGAGTTCACACTACAGTACTTGTATGAGGTGAATTGAGTTTCTTTTGATTACAAATAGGGATGTCAATGTTTACTAGACTACACAATTGACCAATAAGTTTGAGTTTATTGGTTAATCTTGCCCACTACATGCGCATCACCCCCTCACTGCCTCTGTATCAGAGGCAGCAAGGGAGGGAACTGGGAGTAAGTGTCTGTGAGGAACTGACTTTAAGCTGGCTCCCCAGGAGCACCAGATGTGTCCTCCACCCCACCCCCATGCTACTGCCTCTGATAGCAACATGGATGGTGAGGGGGCAGGCGAAAGCTGATACAGACGCGGAAGCCAGTTTTCAAGCAAGCTTCCCATGTGTGCCGGGTCCAGACCCCCTGGGTCCCTTTTATTGCTTCCTACAGAGACAGTGAGGGGGAGCTGCTTAAAAGCTGGTTACCCCCAGCACAGCTCAGCAGTGCCTCCTGCCTTTCTCCCACCCTCACCCTGCACTGCTGCCTCTATTAGAGCTCGGACTTCTGTGAGCAGAGGCTGCTGCTACTATATCAGAAGCAGCAGTGCAGGGCGGTAAACAGCCACTCATCGTGGGAAGCTGATTTTTAAATGGGCTCCCGCCTGCCACCCTGAGAGAGAGGCAACAGCACGGGGTTGCAGAGGGCTCCCTGGGCATTGGGCTGGGAGCACACTGGCTGCTGGCCCCGCCCCCAGGGACTATCTAGTAGTCATGTAACCAATAAGATTTCATGTGGTTGCACGACTATCCAGTTGTACTGTATCTAACATCCCTAATTACGAATCATTTCACTTGGGAAAAAAAGATAAAAAATAATCAGAGGGGTAGCCGTATTAGTCTGAATCTGCAAAAGCGACGAGGAATCCTGTGGCACCTTATAGACTAACTGAAGTGTAGGAGCATAAGCTTTCGTGGGCAAAGACCCACTTCGTCAGATGCATGTAGTGGAAATTTCCAGAGGCAGGAATAAATATGCAGGCCAGGATCAGGCTGGAGATGACCAGGTGGATCCAATCAAGGAGGATGAGGCCCACTTCTAGCAGCTGATCTGGAGGTGTGAATTCCAAGAGAATAGAAGCTGCTTTTGTAGTTAGCAAGCCATTCACAGTCTTTGTTTAATCCAGAGTTGATTGTGTCAAACTTAAAGATGAACTGTAGCTCAGCAGTTTCTCTTTGAAGTCTGGTCCTGAAGTTTTTTTGCTGCAGGATGGCGACTTTTAGATCTGCAATAGTGTGTCCAGGAAGATTGAAGTGTTCCCCTACAGGTTTTTGTATGTTGCCATTCCTAATATCAGATTTGTGTCCATTGATTCTTTTACGTAGGGACTGTCCTGTTTGGCCGATGTATATAGCAGTGGGGCATTGTTGGCACATGATGGCATATATTACGTTGGTGGATGTGCAGGAGAATGTACCAGTGACAGTATGGCTGATCTGGTTAGGTCCTGTGATGGTGTTGCTGGTGTATATATGTGGGCAGAGTTGGCACCGAGGTTTGTTGCAAGGATTGGTTCCTGAGTTCGAGTTATTATGGTGCGGTGTGTAGTTGCTGGTGAGAATATGCTTCAGGTTGGCGGGTTGTCTGTGGGCAAGGACCGGCCTACCTCCCAAGGCCTGTGAGAGCGAGGGATCATTGTCCAGGATGGGCTGAAGATCACTAATGATGCGTTGGAGAGGTTTTAGCTGGGGACTATAGGTGATGGCCAGTGGTGTTCTGTTGGTTTCTTTCTTGGGCTTGTCCCGTAGCAGGAGGCTTCTGGGTACACGTCTGGCTCTGTCAATCTGTCTCCTCACTTCCTCGTGTGGGTATCGCAGTTTACAGAATGCTTGTTGAAGGTCTTGTAGGTGTAGGTCTCTGTCTGAGGGGTTGGAGCATATGCGGTTGTACCTCAGTGCTTGGCTGTAAACAATGGATCGTGTGGTGTGTCCGGGATGGAAACTGGAGGCATGCAGGTAAGTATAGCGGTCGGTAGGTTTTCTGTATAGGGTGGTATTGATATGACCGTCACTTATTTGTATCGTGGTGTCCAGGAAATGGACCTCCCGTGTAGATTGGTCCATGCTGAGGTTGATGGTGGGGTGGAAGCTGTTGAAATCATGGTATCAGAGGGGTAGCTGTGTTAGTCTGAATCTGCAAAAGCGACGAGGAGTCCTGTGGCACCTTATAGACTAACTGAAGTGTAGGAGCATAAGCTTTCGTGGGCAAAGACCCACTTCGTCAGATGCATGTAGTGGAAATTTCCAGAGGCAGGAATAAATATGCAGGCCAGGATCAGGCTGGAGATGACCAGGTGGATCCAATCAAGGAGGATGAGGCCCACTTCTAGCAGCTGATCTGGAGGTGTGAATTCCAAGAGAATAGAAGCTGCTTTTGTAGTTAGCAAGCCATTCACAGTCTTTGTTTAATCCAGAGTTGATTGTGTCAAACTTAAAGATGAACTGTAGCTCAGCAGTTTCTCTTTGAAGTCTGGTCCTGAAGTTTTTTTGCTGCAGGATGGCTACTTTTAGATCTGCAATTGTGTGTCCAGGAAGATTGAAGTGTTCCCCTACAGGTTTTTGTATGTTGCCATTCCTAATATCAGATTTGTGTCCATTGATTCTTTTACGTAGGGACTGTCCTGTTTGGCCGATGTATATAGCAGTGGGGCATTGTTGGCACATGATGGCATATATTACGTTGGTGGATGTGCAGGAGAATGTACCAGTGACAGTATGGCTGGTCTGGTTAGGTCCTGTGATGGTGTTGCTGGTGTATATATGTGGGCAGAGTTGGCACCGAGGTTTGTTGCAAGGATTGGTTCCTGAGTTCGAGTTATTATGGTGCGGTGTGTAGTTGCTGGTGAGAATATGCTTCAGGTTGGCGGGTTGTCTGTGGGCAAGGACCGGCCTACCTCCCAAGGCCTGTGAAAGCGAGGGATCGTTGTCCAGGATGGGTTGTAGATCACTAATGATGCGTTGGAGAGGTTTTAGCTGGGGACTATAGGTGATGGCCAGTGGTGTTCTGTTGGTTTCTTTCTTGGGCTTGTCCCGTAGCAGGAGGCTTCTGGGTACACGTCTGGCTCTGTCAATCTGTCTCCTCACTTCCTCGTGTGGGTATCGCAGTTTACAGAATGCTTGTTGAAGGTCTTGTAGGTGTAGGTCTCTGTCTGAGGGGTTGGAGCATATGCGGTTGTACCTCAGTGCTTGGCTGTAAACAATGGATCGTGTGGTGTGTCCGGGATGGAAACTGGAGGCATGCAGGTAAGTATAGCGGTCGGTAGGTTTTCTGTATAGGGTGGTATTGATATGACCGTCACTTATTTGTATCGTGGTGTCCAGGAAATGGACCTCCCATGTAGATCTGACGAAGTGGGTCTACGTAAAAGAATCAATGGACACAAATCTGATATTAGGAATGGCAACATACAAAAACCTGTAGGGGAACACTTCAATCTTCCTGGACACACAATTGCAGATCTAAAAGTAGCCATCCTGCAGCAAAAAAACTTCAGGACCAGACTTCAAAGAGAAACTGCTGAGCTACAGTTCATCTTTAAGTTTGACACAATCAACTCTGGATTAAACAAAGACTGTGAATGGCTTGCTAACTACAAAAGCAGCTTCTGCTCTCTTGGAATTCACACTTCCAGATCAGCTGCTAGAAGTGGGCCTCATCCTCCTTGATTGGATCCACCTCGCCATCTCCAGCCTGATCCTGGCCTGCATATTTATTCCTGCCTCTGGAAATTTCCTCTACATGCATCTGACGAAGTGGGTCTTTGCCCTCGAAAGCTTATGCTCCTACACTTCAGTTAGTCTATAAGGTGCCACAGGACTCCTCGTCGCTTTTATCAAAAATAATGTAAAGTTAGTTATGCTTTGTATTCTAATAACTGAAATTCAATATGTTTGAAAATGGGAAAAACATTCAGAAATATTTAATAAATTTCAGTTGGTATTCTGTTTAACAGTGTGATAAACTGTGATTAATAGGGATTAATTTTGAGACAATTGTGTGAGTTAACTGCAGTATTTGATAGCCCTAAAATATTCATATGATGAGAGGAGCTCCACAATAGATTTCTAAATACAGTCTGATTTCTCTCCCAGTTTTAAGACAGTTGCTGTGGTTGGGATAGTGAAAAGATATCTATCTTACCATGGTTGTGCTTCTCTTTAATTTGATCTCTCTGAAGTGCTCGTGATGGGCGTCTTATGTGTTGGTGTGATATCCAGTGTGATGTTACATGTTTTTTTCATTTGTTATAGATCTAAAGAAAACTCTTGCAGTCTTACTGGATAATATCTTGGAGCGTATTGGCAAGCTAGAGTCCAAGGTGGAGAACCTTGTAATTAATGGCACAGGAGCAAACTCTACCAACAGTACTGCCACTGCTGCTCCCAGCTTAGGAGCAGTTGAAAAGCTCAACGTAGCAGGTAAGTTGAAAACTGTTTAGAATTATAACTTTATTTTATTGTGCGAAGACCCAGAAATACTGATGGTTGGATAATGAAGGGCATGCGCCTATGCCTACCCCTTCTCTCTCTCTCCCTCACTTGTCCTTCTTGGATCTTTAAAAGCTCTTGCCCAAGCTAATTATTGGTGCTGTTGGTGAAAAAGGTCAAACCAGAGAATTTAACCCAACCCTGCACAGCAAGCTTATTGAGAAGGAATTACACCAGCGGTAAAAAGGGTTACATCAAACACATAGCTCCTATGTTAGACATGACATAATACATTAGAAACTGTACAGTTTACAGTTCCTTAAATGAGCCTCTCTTCTACAAACATACACAGACATTCCTGTGCTGGCCCCCACAGTTCCTGCCTGGCAAACAGAAGGTGGTGGTTCTTAGTTTTCTGGTCTGTTCCCCTGAAGCAAGGTCGTCTTTGCCTTGAAAGCCTTCTGGTTCATAGTCTCATAATCAATAAAAGAAGCATCACTGGCTTCTTCAGGTGCTCAAATTAAGGAATCCCCACCACCAAATAAGAATTTATTTTGATTCTTATATCCTCTTTTCCTAGAGGAGCCACTTGTCTTAAAAGCCTGCCATAATTTATATTTCTGGAAGAGGCTAGGAGAGAAGGTACCCAAGATCACCCCAAATCCACAGATTCATCAATCATTCACTCTGGCTTATGCGTGACACCCTGCTGTTAGGTTATGATGACCCTGTCAGCTTGTGCTCCATACTGGAACTTCACTCAAATGCTATTTACTGTTGCATGGGCCTATATTTACTGACCAATAGGTCTAGTATTGATTGTACACTTAGTGCAGTCCGTGTTCCTTGCCAATTGTTCATCAAGTTTGCATCAGTTTGCTTTTGCTTACAGAGGACCTGCTCCTAAAATCCTTTATTTGGCTGTGTTTAAGTCATGTCAAGTTATTCATTTGGTATAGTCACTCCAATTTGGCACCATTTCAACACTGATACCCTTGAGTTGAAAGCACTACATGTTACGAGCTCTTCATGAATAAGATGGTAAACCTGATTAATTGCTTTTCATTTGGGGAAACCAAAAATAAAAATGGCATGTGTGTTATAAAAAGGTGTGAGCTAGTGGTCTCCTCTTAGAGTAGAAAATTAGCTGCTACACATGGTTCACACTGCATCACAGGTTTGTCGGCCTCTGCTGCAACAGACTTGTGAATAGGGAATGGACTAGTTTGAGTGCGGTTATGCAGGCAAGGACTGAATTTTAACAGAACTGGAATGAGGTACTCGAAAACCATGCAAGCGGATTTAAAACAGTGTTAATCCCGCATAACCAATTTAACACATTTTCAAAATATATAGGGACAAATTGGGGAAAGGAGCCATCACAGTAACACTTTGTCCCCATCTCAAAATGTTTAGTTCCTTGGTTTCATGTAAATTTGTCCTTTTGCAGATTTTAATGGTACAGCCAATATCGCGCCAATGTAGACACAGCCCCAGGTTTTGTATCAGTATCACTATTTCCAGATTGGGGTGTAATTTTCATCCCCAAATAAAATGGTACAACCAGTACTTTGGGTGCAGTGGTGTCAGTATAATGTTGCCTTATATTGGTGTAGTTTATTCTCCTTCCCTATGGTAACAGCTATGTTGATATAAGACATGGTTATAGTAATAAAACTGTTTCCACACTGTGAGCTGTACTGTTTTAATCCACTATTGTTAAAGCAGTACAACTAAGGCCTGAGTTGGGCCACAGCCGGAGGGAGGGAGTGGTTGTGGGTATGCAGAGAGTGAGTGCTTAGATAACATGGTAAAGTGGGCCGTACAATACCTGAATTGATAAGAAAGAAGAACTTTAGTTATGGATGGAGAAGGAGGTTAGTGGAAATCTACTCATATTACTTTGTGTAGTTCCCTAGGAAATTTCACCCAGCAAATAATTTGTGGCTTTTTAAACATGACCCTAAAGTTTTGGGTACAGTTCAATAATTTTGACACTTGGTACAAGTAAAGCTTTCTGGCGAGCTTTGGTGTGCTTAGGTTTTAAAGCAATGGTTTTAAAACTTTTTTTTTCTCTTGACCCAGTTGAAGAAAATAAGTGATGCCCACGACTCAACATAATTTAACTTAGGGATGCCAAGGACTGTCCGATAAGCAAATGCTTATCAGATAGTCAACAAGCTTGTTGACTAGTTGCTCCCCCCCCCTCCCCCCCTTTGCTTCCTCTATCAGAAAGCAGAAGCAAGGATGGGAGGGGGAGAAGAGAAGGGGGTACTTCAAAGAAGCAGTGCCGCATGGAGCCTGGGGCCAGACTGGGGCCAGTACTGCTGCTTTGAAACACCCCGGGGAGCCTGATTCCGGGCTCCCATGGTGACGTTTCAAAGTAGCAGATCCTTGCAGAGCCCAGGGTCAGTGGGGAGTCTGGGCACCACTTAGGGCTTCAGCTCAGGACAAATTGCTCAAAACCAGGGCTACTTACAGCCCTCGGCTGGAGACTTTTCCCAAATTGGCCACAGACCAGTCACACACCGCATTTCAGCTGCCAGTCTGGCCAGCAGGAAGCCTCATAAGCAAAACCCCTCAGACACCTCAGGTTTCCCTGTGCCACAAACAGCCCCAGACCTTACACACAGGTGAGAGGTTATAAAACTCAATCTCACCAACTCCAAACAGATCCTCCCGGTCCCAAAGAACCAGCCACAGTCCCTGGTCAATTTATACTTTAGATCTTACCCACAAGAGCACACTGAGCCAATCCTTTAGAATCTAAAATCTAAATGTTTAATAATAAATGCAGGCTCTTAGCAGAGATGTTACAAACAGTTAGCTTAGAAGTCTCTGGTGTACATCCTGTATCCGTATGGGTCAGTAATCCTTCCTGGCTCTCTGTCCCTAGCAAGGAAGCATCTGGAATCAGGGACAAGATGAAGATGCCCTCATGGGATTTTTATATTCCTGGTATCTCCCAAATTGGAGCCGGTCACATGATCTAGTGACCTGTTTGATTCACATGCAAGTAGCCATTATGCAGTGGCTAGTCTGCAGGCTTCTAGACGCATTCCTTATGTGTGCATTGGCCACTCTGAGAGCCACTGTCCATGGAACAGGGCTAGTTAGCACAGCTATTCACTGAACAATCCTTCCTTACAATAGGCAGTCCAGGCCCATTGCTCCCTCCCAGACAGAGAACATTCTAAATACAAGAAAAGTGCCCAATTCGTAACTCCACATACAGAAATCATACCAAGTACATGAGTGTCATACATAGAATTAGTAGAGCATAAGCTTTCATTTTACACCTCACATGGCCCACTTTGTACAGAATTTGGGGCAACAGTGGGTGCAACAGTGATCTGTCTGCTCACTTTAAAATCCAATAATGTGACATGTTGCAACAGTCCTAGTGTTTCTACACTTCAGAGAGGGAGACGCCATATTGATTAGTCTAACAGTCGATGCAAAGTGCATCCACTATTCGATTAGTCAATTACCTGCAATTTAACATCTCGAATTTGACTAGCATCTGAGCTCTGGGATGGGGATGCGGACGAGGGCTTTGGAGCGTAGGAGGGGCCTCTTGCTGGGGGGTAGGGTCAGCACTTGGGCAGGAGGGGCTTTTACCTCGAGCGGCTCTTGGTCAGTGGTGCGGTGAGAGTGTTAAGGCAGGCTTCCTGTTTCTCCTGGCAGTGCAGACCATGCTGAGCCCCAGAAGCAGCCAGCAGCAGGTTCCCAACCAATGGGAATGCAAAACTAGTGCTCAGGGCAGGGGCAGTGCGTGGAGCCCTGTGTGATCCTTCCCCTCCCCCCCACATACCTAGGAGTTGGGTCTGTTGCCACGGCATCACAGTCTGTGGTGCCAGGAGAGGCAGGTAGCCCGCCTTTGCACTCCCACTCATTACCTAATCCCCCTGCAGCAATGAGACCCAGCGCTTGACATTCCACAACTCAGTACTGGGTCATGACCCATAGTTTGAAAACCACTTGTCTAAAATAACTTAGGAATGCTCAGTAATATCAGTTTTTCCCTGATTATGAAATTGAATTCATTAATAAAAAATAAGATACTGTAACAAGGCACTTTTAGGGGAATATGGCACTTCCCAGGCTGTTAACCTGTAATGGCTGTCACTTGAGACATACTGCTATTATTGAGTAACATGCTGCCTCTTTTGTCTTACTGCTAAGATAATTGTGTGTAGTGTGGCAGGTATAATAGTGCTACAGTACCATTTTCATTATTCTTTTCAGGTGTTGATTTTTACATTATCAATTGCTAGATTAATCTTCCCTTTTACTAGGTACATGAGTCAGAGGTTAAGATGTATCTCGCTCAAATTAGTACTTAAAGCTTTTCTGAGTTAATTATTTTTGTTCTGCTTTTGAAGAAAAAAATAAATGAAATAAGATAAATCACCAATCAAGATTTTAGTCCATAAAAGAGCCTTACAGTGCTACCGATTTTTCATAGTCAACTTGTTTTTGTATTGCCTATTTGGATGTCTGTTTATTCAAGCAGGGTTCTAAATACTTTGGTGAGAGGAGATTCATTCACGTAATTTCTTTCTCCCAGTTATGAAACTGAATTCACTACTATGGAGGAAAGAAAGTGATAATACCGAGCAAACTGGGACACTATCTTAAGTTTCTAATGGACTTCGTGCTGTTAATTTCCTTGTTTGTACAGCATCATTTCCAATGTAAGAAGTGACTAACAGACTAACAAGGCAGCATCCTGCTTGGGCAGAAGTCTGATAGGGTTTTCAGTGCTAATGTTAGTTCAAGGCTTATACAAAGGTAGTAGAGGAGCTGCACAATTGCCATAAAGAGTCTTCTCCTTTAAATTTTAATTAAATGCTGTCCATAGATTTTTAAAGCCCAGGAGGGCCACAATGATTATGTAATCTGCCCATCTATATAATAGAGGCCATAAAAAGTTACTCGGCAATTCCTACTGAGGATGGAGTTATTCTGTCCATTTTCTTCTGGGTTTT